GTTTGATAGAACGGCAAGACATGTTTTTGAAAGGTGTGTGTCCAAACTTTGAGCCCAATAGATGGCATTCGTTCGAAGCGCAACAAAGAGTAACTTTTTTTGCATTGAAGATGTCGGAATTTCCAAAAAAGCAACATTTGCGGGAAGTTTTACTCCATTATTTTATTTTAAAGAAAAGTGCTGCAGAAACGCATCGTTTACTCGTAGATATTTACGGTGAGCATGCTCCATCGAAAACTAGTCGTAAAGAATGGTTTCGGCGATTCAACAGTGGTGATTTTGACATGCGTGACAAAGAACGCGAAGGTGCACCGAAAAAATTTGAAGATGCAGAATTGCAAGCATTACTCGAAGAAGATTCGTGTTTATCGCTCGATAGGTTGGCAAAAGAGTTAAATATTGATAGATCCACTGTTGGAAAACGTCTACGCAATGGGAATGGTGCAAAAAGAAGGAAATTGGGTGCCATATAAATTGAAAGAGAGAGACATGGAAAGACGTTTGGTCATCTGCGAAATGCTTCGTCAATGACAACAAAGGAAGGGTTTTCTACATCGTATCGTAACTGGCGGTGAAAAATGGATCTACTACGATAACCCTAAACGCTTGAAGATATGGATGAGGCCAGGTGAACCAGGTCCATCAACGCCAAAACAAAATATCCATGCTTCGAATATTATGTTGTGCATCTGGTGGGATCAAAGAGGTATTATATATTATGAACTGCTCAAACTGTCCGAAACCATCACTGGGGATCGTTATCGGCTACAACTGATACGTTTAAACCAAGCTTTGAAAGAAAAACGATCGGAATGGGACAATAGGCATAACAAGCTGATTCTGTTACATGACAACACTAGGCCACACGTTGCAAAACCGGTCAAGAAATACTTGGAAGGAGTAAAGTGGGAAATTCTGCCCCACCCGCCGTATTCACTGGACATTGCCCCTTCAGATTTCCATTTGTTCCGATCCATGCAGTCGGCCCTTTCTGGAGAACGATTCAATTCTTATGAAGGTATCAAAAAATGGCTTGATGAATGGACCGCTTCAAAAGAACCAGATTTTTTTCATTCGAGGAATCCGTTTATTACCGGAAAGGTGGGAGAAAGTTGTCGCTTCCGAAGGAGCATACTTTGAATAAACTCACTTATATAGATTTGTTTAAATAAACACATCTTTTTTATTTAAAAAGGGCGGAAAGTTATTCCCATACCCAATACAAGATAATAAAAGTAAGTTATTATTCTACATTTGCGCATAACACATTTTTATATAATACAAACGATTTTTATATAAGTTGATTTATTTTTATTTTTTAACGATTCTAATATATCAACTTAAACATTACCGAATTATTTTGAACTCAACACTAAAAATTGAGAATCAACACCCGAATTAGATGTTGACACCAAACTATTTGGGGTTCAACACCACCCCCTCGTGGATTGCCATCTTGTCATGGTGAGGAGGCTCCCTCATGAGTTGCTTCGCGGCTTGTGGAGGTCTAAAAGCAACCTGTACGGACTCCTCCGTGACGAGAGGAGTCTGTACGCTAGGTCCGGCACCCCAAGGGGGTCTCTCTCTCGTCGAGGGAGAGACTCCTGGCGGTCTCGTCCTCTTGGGACGGGTCCCCAATATGCCAGATGTTGGCGGCCCTGACTTCAATCACCCGGTGGCACGGCATCGTTAAGGGAAATTTTTATTCTCTGCCCGTGTGGGTATGGGCATCGACCCCCACTGCGCCCGGGCTCTCATGGGGCCCCTCTCTCTCTGGGGGGGTGGGGTGGTTCCCTCAGGGTCTCGGGCGCGGAACGCGTCGAGCGGGTGCTCGCGCAAGGCGGGTCGGCCCGTATGCTCCTGGCTGCAGGCTGGCCCATGCCGTTGGGGGGGGGAAGAAGTCTCCGAGAGCTTCGGCTCATTGCACCGGGGGCCTCTCCCGCCTCAAGAGGTGCGGACTTTGTCCGTAGGGGAAAACGGGGCCGCGCAGACTTCTCAGTCCGTCGCGAAGCCCCTCGTCTCTCTCGGAGTAGAGGGGTCGCGCGGCCGCTCGGACATATTCCAAGGCAGGGCGCGCGGTCTCCGCCTCCCCCCCCCCCGGGGCCGCTCGGACGTATTCCGAGGTCGGGACCGGAGGGGGCACCGAGTAGTTGTAGCCAGTGTTTCCGCGACGGCGTCCCTTCCGAAGCGGGGCACCGGGCGATGGAACTTATCGCTGGCTGCCGCGGCGGTTAGGGTCCGGAAGGGGCGCCGCTTCCGTGACCCGACCCGTCCGCGGCGTGCAGTAAGGCTGGGACGAGCGCCGGTTTCGCCAATGCGGCCCTTGGCGCCGGCGTCGAGACGGCGATCTCCAGGGCGGGGTCGACCGTCTCGATGGATTCGGTCACCACCAGCGATGGGAGAGATGGGAGAAAGAGGACAGCTTCTTCCCCCGCTACTGTCATCCTCCTCTGGAACGAGCGAGGGCGAAAAGAGGCCGCGGGATAAACCGGCTCTAAATCCCGAGAACGTCGGCAAATTTATTGCCGAGGCTAGGGAGAGGAGGGCAGAGAAAGCCAAAGCCGCCCAGCTAAAGAGGGATTACAAGATCATCTGCGACCCCACGGCGAAAGCATCGTCGAACTCCGCCAGGAAGGCCAACCTGAGGGCCCAGGAACTGGCGGAGGAATATGACGAGCAGCCGGTCGGAGCGGTCGCGGCGGTGGCCACCCGCGAATTGAGTGTTCTCGCGAAATCGAAGAACATCCGCGGAGACATTGTCCGCGATCTATGGACGGCCTACAATAAGATTACTGGGGCACTGGAGTCGATCGTTCATAGAGCGGACAAAAATTGCGACGATAAGAGTCGCTCCCCCCCCGACCGGCGGGGACAAGGAGAGGGAGAGGTGGGAGGAGGAAAGAAATAGGGTCAGTCAGGAGATAGCCTACCTCCAATCTCGCAATGCCCAGGTTGACAGAGGGCTGGAGAAGGAGGACGCACTCCCGTGGAACCGCGACAATCGCGGACGGAGACACGATCCCTTCCCTTAGCTGGGACGGCGCGATGGAGTGGTTGGGCGAAGAAATCCGGACCACCGAGGCGCACAAGCCTACCACCAGCCGGGCCACGCGCAGCAAGAAGGCACGCCTTGAAGCTGTGCCGCGGGAGGACGCGGACGACGGGGAAGAGAGACCCGGGCTCCCGTCGTCATCACGGAGGAGGATATAAGGGCTCCCTACTTCAGGCCGCCACTGCAGGGGAGAGCAAAGCAGCTCAACCCCCTGTCCAATACGGCGGACAGAAGGGTGAACACAGGAGCCCCTGTGAAAAATTCTCCCCACAATAGGAGTAAGAAGGGAGGGCAGCCCGTCGAGGAAAAAATCGAGAGCATCCTGGTCAGGCTCCTGCCTCCCTTGTTGAAGAGCATGGGCTTTGCTGCTGTGACGCAGTAGCAGGCGTCTGCCAAGAGACCAGGGCAGAAAGAGAGGAGTCGGCCCCCGATCGAGGGAGTGAAAGGCAATGGGACGGACTGCGCGGCGGCTGCTGCTCCTAAAGAAAAGGCGTAGCGACCCGCTTCCGGGACTCGATGGGCGCCAGCTGCCACTGTTAGCGGTCCCTCTCCCGCGGACAACGGAAAAACGAGTACGAGCGCTGCCAATAACGATCTCACATGGGCGCAGGTCATCTCAAAGCCGATAAAAAAGGCGGTCAACAAAGTTGCCCGTGAGCGCGCTGGCAATACACAGACCCGAGTCCGCCCCACCCGAAGAAGGGGGGCATCGGGCAGCCTTCGCAGCAACAACAACAGCAGCAACGAAGGCGTAAGGGAACGGAACCCGGCCACGAGCATTCCCCTCCTGCCAACTCGTGGGCCCCTGGTACGCAGCTGTTTAAGATTAGACAGCCGTCCACCGCCGCGATCACAATCACCTGCGCTGACTCTCAGGCGTACGCGGAGGTGGTGAGTCTCGCGAGGACCAAAATCAGCATGTCGCCAACAAAGAAAATCAAAGGATTTTCTCTACCCGCTATGGCAGTGCGGCGGGCGCTTTTGCGCGATGAATTAATGTTGAGTGTACTTCCGAAAAGGTGAACCTCCCAATTTTCTTGTTGATTGGTATACTATTGTATTTTGATGCTCTAATTACGAATATGATCATGAAAATTACCAACAAGATCATTTTCAAGGTCAAATATTTAAAAATCGATTTTTATCTATACTACTGTATTTTTGTATGCTGATTACAAAGAAATTGCTGGCAAGGTCATTTTTACGGTTAAATATAAACTTTTACATTTCATGTAATCACAAGTAGAGCTGTTAGATTTTGGTTCGTGCCCTTCTCCCCTCTGCAAAGGGGACAACTTCCATAATTGTACTGCGAGCAATCCTGCGAGACCTTGGGATGGACGATCTGAGGCCTAGAAGGACTATAACAGGGGCCCTCATATGGGAGGTACAAAGCAATCGCGAAAAGGCGGACGCCCTGGCCGATAAGCAAGTGCGGAAAGTGTACCGTGACAGGGACGACGTCAGAGTCACCAGGCCCGTGAAATCCGTAGAAATACGAATAACGGGCCTGAACGATTCCGTAACATCCAAGGACGTGGTGGAAGAACTCGCGAGGAAGTGCGAGAAGTCGCCCGCATCGATTTCAAGGTGGCGGGCGACGTGAGGAGGATGCCCAGCGGACTGGGGTCCTGGGCCAGATGCCCCGTGGATGCTGGGAAGAGGTTGGTGGCGGCACGGCGGATCACTGTGGGATCCAACTGCAAGGTGGCGCTGCTGCCCGCGCGTGGCCTCCAGTGCTACAAATGCCTGGAGGCCGGCCACGTGCAGTCGAAATGCACGAGCCTGGTGGACCGCTCCGGTTGCTGCTACCGATGCGGAGCGATAGGCCACCAGGCCAAAGAGTGCGCCAGCGCCAGGCTGGACTGCCCTGCGTGCGGGACCCTCGGCCGGCTGTCCAACCATCGTATCGGCGGACTGGGGTGCACGGCCGGAAAGATACATAAGAAGGGGGCCAAGCCCAGCGGCCCCCCTCGCTAAAGCCGCCAACCAGCCGATGACGGAAGCGGTTGAAAAAGGAAAAGCGGCGCCGTCGCCATCGGCGGACACGCTGCCGGAACAGCCGCAGCAGCAACAACAGCAGCAGCAGCCGATGACGGAGAGGTCGCACAAGGCGATAGAGGTGGAGACGGTCGCGGGAGGGACTGACGCCGCTAATTGATGGTAGCTGGTCTCCTCTAGACCAATCTCAATCACTCGAGCACAAAGCATGCTCATGCAGTGTCTCGCCGAGTGGGGGGGGGGGGGGACTGGCCATCGCCGCTGATCCACACTGCATTTCGGAGGGTCACCCCAACTGAGCGGGAGACTCTCTGGGTCAGGTGGCAGTGGTCTGCCAGCACGCGCGCGATATCCCCGCCGATGATCCATATCGGCGCGGGAGGAGTTCTCGTGGAGTGGGGGCCCATCAACGTTGCGGGGTATTACTTCCCTCCTCGCTTAGGCAGGAGGGAATTCGAGGACGCCCTGGAGTCTCTGGGGAAGCGCATACGCCGGCGCTCCCCCAGGCCGACACTGATGGGTGGGGATTTCAACGCCCACGTGTTGGAGTGAGGTTCCCTATCCACTGTCTTCAGAGGCGACAGCATCCTGCTGTGGGCGGCGAGGCACGGTCTCGTTCTGCTCAATAGAGGCCGTGTCAGCACCTTCGTGGGGGCCCGGGGGGAGTCCATCGTCGACCTGACGTGGGCGACCCCCGCGGCGGCCCTTAAGATCAAGGGATGGCACGTGGACACCGGCTCCCTGTGCGAGCTATCGGATCACCGCCTGATCCGCATGGAGCTGGTGTCCATCCCCGCGGAGGTGTTGCGTAGACGCCGCCGACAGAAGGAAGAACGTCGATGGGTCCTGCGAAAGCTGGACCCCGGCGCTCTCGAGGTGAGCCTTCTCTCCTCCATCTGGCCGGAGCGCAACTCGGCCAACACGGTGGAGGAGGGGGCCGAGTGGCTCGGGAACGTTATGTCGCGCGCGTGCGACGATGCCCTGCTGCCGCCCGATGGAGAGGGGGCGGCCTATTGGTAGTCCGAGGAGCTAGCTGTGCGTCGGGTCGCCATGGCTGCCAGAAGATCGTACACTTGCCGCAGGCGGCGGGGCACCGACGAAGAGAGGGAAGTGGCCGCCGGGGCGTTCCGAGATACAAGGAGCGCCCTCAGAGCGGCCATATGAAAGGTGAAGGCTGACGCCCGGCGGGAGCTTGTCTCCTCCTTGGACAGGGACCCGTGGGACGCTTGGGAGGCCCTACAAGATAGTGACGAAGAAGCTTCGTCCGTGAGCCCTCTCGATAACAGAAATCCTGGATGCTTGGTTCCTCGAGGACGTGGTGGCCGCCCTTTTTCCCACCAAGGAGAGAGACATTCCGGGCAGGGCTGACCCCCTCCCCCCCCGTCGAGATGGACGGAGGAGCTGAGCGTCACCGGAGAGGAGATGGGGAAGGCCTTCGCCCGGCTGAGGGATGGGCCGCGGGCGCTCGGATCCGACGGACGACGTCCACGGGTCTGGGCCGCGGCCTTCATCGGAGAACACCCGAGGCAGCTCTACACGAGCTGCCTCAGAGAGGGAAGCTTTCCCAGGTCGTGGAAGAGGGCCCGGCTTGTCCTTCTGCGTAAGGAGGGCAAGCCGGCGGAGAGTATAGACTCCCTCCGCGTATAGGCCAATTTGCCTGCTGGACGATGCGGGCAAACTGCTGGAGCGTATCATCGCTGCCCGCATCGTTCGGCATCTGTCCCGGGATGGTCTTGACCTGTCCCACGGTCAATACGGCTTCCGAGAGGGGCTATTCACGGTAGATGCTATTAGGCAGGTCCGTGCCCTCTTGGAGCAGGTGACCGCGGGCGGGGGGGTGGCGTTGGCGGTGTCACTCGACATGCCTTCAACAGTGTGCCGTGGGACCAGGTAATGGGGGCGGTGAGAGAACATCACCTGCTGCCCTCCCCCCCCTATCTGGTGGTATACCATTGTGGAGGACTATTTTCGGGACAAGCAGCTGGAGTTCCACAACAAACAGGGACTCCAGCAGCGGAGAGACATGTCGTGCGGCGTTCCGCAGGGGTCCGTGCTGGGCTCCTTATTCTGGAACGTCGCATACGACTCGGTCCCTCTCTCCCGGCTGCCATGTCGTCTGCTACGCGGACGACACGCTGGTGGTGGCCGGGGGTACGACTTGGGAAAGAGCTGCGAGTATAGCGAACATTGCAGTGGCGTGCGTGGTCGGCTCCATAAGGGAGCTGGGACTGAGGGTGGCCCCGCAAAAACAGAAGCAATTTTCTTCCATAACGGGAGGAGCGGAGTGCCCCTTCAGGCATACATCGTAGTAGATGAAATCCGCATCCTGGTGGGGCCGACCATCAAGTACCTGGGCCTGGATGATCGCTGGAGCTTTGTCGAACATTTTGACAGATTGGCCCCGCGATTGGGCAGCCGGGCGGATGCCCTGTTTGGCCTCATGCCCAATCTTCGCGTTCCGAATGCGTCGGTCAGGCGGGCGTATATGCACGCCATCCTGTCCGGGGCCTATTATAGGACCCCGATATGGAGCGGGCAGGCCCTAGCCAGTCGCCATATCCAAGGCAGATTGCACAGTGTGCAGCGGCGTGCTGGCCTTAAGAATCTGCAGGACCTATAGGACGGTGTCTTATGCGGCCGCCGTCCTCGCAGGGATCCCCCCTGCCGAGTACGTGGCTGGTGTCCTGGCGGAAACCTACGCCGGGATAAAGGTCATCCGGCTACGCGGGGAGGTCGTTACCTCGGGGACCGTTGACCGACTGAGCGGGAAGGCCCGTTGACGGGTGTTTCGGGAGTGGCGCGCCGTTCTCGAGAGCAACCCGCCGACAACGGGCGTTCGGACCGTGAAGGCCATCCTCCCCTGCCTAGAGGAATGGGTTGGTTGGGGATGGGGCGGACTCTCATACTACATGACGCAGGTGCTCACCGGACACGGCTGTTTCGGGGAATACCTGCGTTGAATAAGAAAGGAGCCGACCGCGCGCTGTTTCCACTGCGACGGAGACTGGGACACCGCACAACACACGCTAGAGGCTTGCCCGGCCTAGGCAAGCGAGCGCGGTGTCCTGGTCCGTGAAATAGGGGGCGATCTCTCCCTGCCGGCCGTTGTTAGAGTGATAATCGACGGGGAGAGCGCCTGGACGGCATTCTCCTCCTTCTGCGAACAAGTCATGTCGCAGAAGGAGGAGGCCGAGAGAGAGAGAGGGAACGGGCCCCAGCCGTGGCCCTCCTCCGCCGCTGGGTGGCGGCAGCGACGACGTAGGTGGCGGAGGGGAGGGAGATAGACGATGCCGGTGGGACCGTGGGAGACCATTTGTTGACCACAGCCGCTCGTGCCCCGTGCCCCCTCCCGCGCGCTCGCGCCGCCGGGATCGTTCCATGGGGCGAAAATGGCGGCGACCTCTCCCATACCGGAGGAATCGGATGAAGACGACGAGGATGCGCACGGGGCAGGCGGGGTCAATCGCCCCTCCTCCCCCACTATTGCCGACGGCCCCGTATCAAGAACGCGGGGAGCCGTGAAGCGGCGGCAGGCGAACACTGAGGACGCATCGCCGCCGAGCATGGCATGATCCTCCACGTGCGGAGTCGGCGTCTCGTCCCTGTCGACCTGTCTGTCTACGACTGCGGTGCCGGGGCGGGGCCTCCGTCCCCCCCCCCCGATGCGCTGCGTCGCGAAAACATGTCTTGTGGCGTGGCGGAGCATGAGGGGCGCCAGACTTGTCTGACGCTCCTTGGGGGGGCTGGGGGTTCTGACGGGGGCTGGGATCCCCAATCCCCGTCCCTCAACAACAATCGGTGGGCGGGCGCGGGGGGTAGTGTCCCCCCCAGCGTCCGATTTTGGCAGTTAACGCCACGCGTCGCCCGGGGCCGTCTCTCCGACAAACTTCCGGGCGGGATTGTCTCGGCAACAGCCGACCGACCAGAACGGCTCCCAGAAGTATGCTGCACGCGTTCCTGGGAGCCCTCTCAGGACCCGTTCAGGACACTCGGAGGGGTTTTAGTGGGTGCAAGCCCCACATAACCCAAACAAAAAACAAAAAACTGAGAGTCAAACTTGGAAACTGACATCGAATCATTTGGGGCTCAATGTCAAAAATTGAAAGCAAAATACGCAAACTTGATGTTGACCCCGAACTATTTGGGCCTCAACAAAAAATTGAGAGTCAACATTCAAACTTGGAATATGACACCGAATCATTTAATGTCTACCTTGAAAATTTAACGATCAATCCTCAAATTTTGAATGTTAACATTCAATTTTTATAGTCAATCCTCAAATTTTGTGGTCAACCCTCAAAATTTGGAGTTTTTTTTTCATAAAGGCAGTACGGAAATTATCGTTTTCGCAAAAAAATAATATCCTCCTCCCTCTTTTCGATATACGGGATAAAAGTCAAAATTTTTTTCTGATCGAGCACAGTTTCAAAAAGTCGTTCGTTATGGCCATATCAACATTTGTGGATCTGCAAGGATTTGTCGTTGGAAGAAGATTTGTGAAGACGGTGCTGAGAAAAGGAGCTATTCTTTTTCATTACATTTTTACATGTAATTTTACATTCCCATAGAATATCTTAACAAGATCCGAAAAGTCTTGCGCTTCCT